ACGGGCGTCCAAGGCCCCAGCGCCAGGCCCCTCTGGCCACACGGAGTCACGAGGGGCGACTGTGGTCACAATGGACCCAGTGCCTCCTGCGCCCCAGCCACTGGCCTCGCCCTGGGCCCCCCCTCCTCCCTACAGAGCACTTGCCCGCATGACCCCCTTTGGTGCTCACCTGGGATCCCCCTTCAGCCCCACGGTAGCCCCACGGCGAGACGAGCACCTGGTTATCTTCGCGTTGAGGCCGGGGAACCCACACGTGGAGTCCCTCCCGTGGCCGCCCAGGTCTCGTGGCCAGGCAGGGACGGGGCTGGAACTTGACCCGGCGTCTCCGTGACTCGGGGCTCCGCCCACCCGGTGGCTTCGGGGCTGCCTCTGGCCCTTTTGTGCCGACCTGACTTTGACCTGAACCGTGAGCTCCCCTGTGGCTCCGCGTCAGAGGCTGACCTTCGGTCCGGGCGTGTGTGGGGCCGTGGAGACGCCCCGGTCTGGACAAGTCTCTCCTCCTGAAGGTGAAGGGGTGGCGCTAGGTGGTCATGGGGGGCTCATCCCCACTCGAGGGTCCGTGAGAGTGAGGGTCACCCACACCCGCTCCTGCCTTTGGCCCCCAAACTGTAATAGAAGCTACTGGAGCCCTGGCCGGTGTGGCTCAGTGGGTAGAGCGTCGGCCTGCAGACCGAAGGGTCCCGGGTTCGATTCCGGTCAAGGGCACGGACCTCGGTTGCAGGCTCCTCCCCGGCCCGGGCCCTGATCAGGGCTCGGGCAGGAGGCAGCCTATCCATGTGTCTCTCTCACATCGACGTTTCTCTCTGTCTCTCCCTCTCTTTTCTGCTCTCCCTAAAAATCAATAGAAAAATATCCCCGAGTGAGGATTAAAAAAAAGAAAAAGATGCTGTTACTGGGGAGAGGATTGGATATAGAGCTTGTGTCTGAGGGGATATGGGTCGTCATTAAACCCCCAGTAACACTTGAAACCAAAAATAGCTCGTTTTTGGGGGTGTTGGTGATCCACAGCGACTCTCTCTCTCTCCCTCGCTATTTATAACCAAGTCTGGTTTCCTCTACGGCTAAGTTTGTCTCCTTCGCAACAGAGGAAGTCAGGCCCAGCCCGCGTCCGAGCTAAGACCTCAGAGTCTGCACCCCGATAACAGACCCTCTCGGGGGGCCCGAGGCCCTGCGGACAGGGGCGTTTGGGCTCCGCCTCTGGGTGGGCACTGCAGGGGGTGGCCAGCCAGCTGCCCACAGGGTCTCCCTCGGAACCGAGTACAGCTGCTGGGGTGGGGCTGGCGGCCCCGAACTCTGGACTTGCCACCCAGGATGTTAGGTCAAAGCTCAGATGGCTCCTGCAGGCGCCAACGCCTACTTCTGGCCCTCGAGGAGCCCTGGCTGGTGTGCCCAGTGGTTAGAGCGTCGGCCTGCACACCAGAGGGTCTTGGGTTCGATTCCTGTCAAGGGCTCCTGCCTGGATTGCAGGTCTGATCCCTGCCCCCGGTCAGGGTCAGGGTCAGGGGGGGCGTGTGCGGGAGGCAACCAATCGATGTGTCTCTGATACATCGATGTTCCTCTCCTCTCTCTCTCTCGTTCTCTCCTGACCCCATCTCTTCCACTCTCTCTCTAAAAATCCATGGGAAAAATGTCCTCACTCCCTGGGTGAGGGTTAAAAAAAAGAGAGAAGATGAAGCGGAAGTGGACTCAAGGCCAGGCCACCCCCGAGACCCTGCTAGGGCCTGAGGGCAGCTCTCGGGTCTTTGATTTGTCGCTGTGGGTCTGCGCCTGAGAGATCTGGGCCAGATGGCGGCCCCCAGTCCTGCTGAGGATTTTAACTGCCGTAGCAGCGTGGGAGCTTCCTGCCCGGAGAGCCACCCCACCCCCCACCCCCGGGTCCCTGGCAGGAGGCATGGTGGAGGCCCAGGAGGCCTGGGGGAAGGGCCGCAGCTCAGGGCATGAGTGGGGCCCGAACTCCAGTCCATGAGGGGCTCAGGGCCAAGCACAGGGCAGTGTGTGAGTGTGTGTGTGTGTGAGTGTGTGAGAGTGTGAGTGTGTGTATGAGAGTGTGAGTGTGCAAGTGTGTGTGTGAGTGTGTGTGAGAGTGTGTGTATGTGTGTATGTGTGTGTGTGAGTGTTCGAGTGTGTGCGCGCGCAAGTGTGTGTGTGAGAGAGGCAGTGTGTGAGTGTGTGTGTGTGTGAGTGTGTGAGAGTGTGAGTGTGTGTATGAGAGTGTGAGTGTGCAAGTGTGTGTGAGTGTGTGTATATGTGTGTATGTGTGTGTGTGCGAGTGAGTGTGTGAGTGTGTGTGAGTGCGCGAGTGTGTTTGTGTGTGTATGTGTTAGTGAGTGTGAGTGTGTGAGAGAGTGTGTGAGTGCGCGAGTGTGTGTGTGTGTATGTGTGAGTGTGCGAGTGTGTGTATATGTGTGTGTGTGCGCGAGTGTGTGTGTGCGTGTGTGTGAGAGAGTGTGAGTGTGTGTGTCTGTCGGGCCCAAGGACAGGGTTGGAGGTGGGCGGGAAATGCATGCAGGCATCTGATCTGAAGGAACTTCAGGGTTTGGGAAGGAGGGAGCAGGAAGGCAGCTGGGAGGGGGGTGGGGTGGGAACGCCCCAGCCAGGAGGCCGAGGCTGCGCTGAAGCTGGACAGAGGCGGAGGGGACTGTCCCAGGCTGCCTCTGACCGGCCTGAGACTCCCCAAGCTGCTGTTTGAACCTTCCCTGCCTCTCGGGCCGCATCTGACCGCTGACCACTGTGCCCAGTGACCGCCTCGCCTCCGGGCAGCAGTGCCCAGGAGTCAGGGTCTGGACCTCTGGCTGCCCTGCCGCTCCCTGGAAGCCCAGGAGGCGCTGCTGAGGGGCTGGCGTGGCTGACCCGAGGCCCCCGCCTCCAGGAGGCCCTCCAGGAGTTTCCAGCTGCTGAGCCTCCCGGTTCAGGTTTGCCTGACACCCTGTGGCCCGGAGGGTGGGTGAGGCAGCGGCTCTGGTGCCACTTCCCGGCAGTGAGGCTGTGAGTCAGAGGGTCACCTACTTTCGGAAGACGGGGGGACTTCCTGGAGGCAGGAAGCCCGAGTTGGGCCCCAGAGAATGCAGAGTCTGTCTGTCTGCCATCGACATCGGGAGGGCTGCCCTGGAGCAAAGGCCTGGGCCAGCTTCTGGGAAGTGATCTGGGGAATCTGGACACAGACACACGAGTTCGAATCCTGCGTCTGCTGCTTCTATGCTGGGTGAGACCCGTTTCCCCTCTGCAAAACCGCACAGGAACGATGAAGCCCGCCTCCCAAGGTTGTGAGAATGAAAGGAGAACACGCAGCCTGGCCGGCGTGGCTCAGGGGTTGGTCAGCAACCTAGGCACCAGGAGGTCAGGGTTCGATTCCCGGTCAGGGCACAGGCCCGGGTTGCGGGCTCGATCCCCAGTGGGGGGCATGCAGGAGGCAGCCGATCAAGGATTCTCTCTCATCATGGATGTTTCTCTCTCTCTCGCTCTCCCTCTCCTTTCTTCTCTGAAATCAATAAAAATATATTTTTTAATAAAAAAAAACATGCATATAATAAAGTACCTTGTTCA